CCGTCTGCCTCAGGGTGTTCTTGGGTCCAAATCAGAATCGTTACAGTTTACTTAAAAACAGTTATATGACAGGCAAAGCACAATGAAAGGAACATGATCACAGGTGAATTGCTACCAGCTGCCTTTGACCTTAGACATACAGTATGGCGCTGTGTGATGGAAAATTCTCCAACATGCAGCAACACAAGCTCACTGTTCTTTACTTTTTGGTGCAGATAAATACAATTAATGCATTTATGTCAGTTGGGGCCATAAGCATCTTGAAACTTTTCTTTTTTTACATTATTCACGTGGAACACCAAAAGAATAGAAAATACTACAATACAGGCCTTGGATCAAAAGAAAAAGCCAGTGTCTGGTGAAATGGGTTCTCAGTGAAATTGTCAAGAGACAACACACATAACTGTTAGAAGCTTTGGAAAAAATCTGATCTCCTGAAAGTGGGAGCTTTGATAGCATATTATGAGACATGATGTGAATATAATAGCATAATAAGTCTATTTCTGCCTCTTAGATTTGCAGTCTCTCTCCCTTTCTTCTCTGCGGCTCTCCTCCTTTTGCTCCATCTATCATACGGGATCATCAGTTCACTAAATACAAAGAGCTACATTAATTCATGCCCCTGTAGGATTGAGGAGTAGTGATAATTGCCACATTTGTCATAATTGTAGTAAAGTAACTTGTCTGGTGGGGTTAACTGCCTTTGAAATCCACCTGGTGTTAGAACCACATCTTTTCTTAGTGCTGAAGCTGCTGCAGGGTGACTACAGTGTTTAAATAAAATTAATTATAAAAGCAAACTGAGCTTCGTTGTGGCACTTGGCATTCTGTGTGCTGCCCTCTAGCTAATCTCAGATTAGAACCCTGTGGAGGTGGTTTATCTTCTCCAGAAAAAGTGGAGCTGCTTGTTGTTTCCCCTGAAAGATAAGTGTTGGTTGCTGCTGGTAACTGGTGGTATTGGTGCTTCTCTGCTGCTGTAAAATCCCGAAAGCTTCTTGATTTATAAAAGGAAAGGAAAAACTGGCCAATGGCCATTTTGCTGTGCTTATCATTTATTCATCACTTTATCTTAATAGTGTAAATGTGAAGGAAAAACCTTGATAAAGCTTTGTTGAATGGTGTTGATTTAATTTGAAATAAAATCATTCCTTTTTGATAAAAAAAAATGTTCATGGATGAAGATAGGTTCAGATTTTGTTCAGTTCCAGATTTATTGTAAGAATCATATATTTTTTTGCTCTCTACCTTTTTTAAATGTATTTCTGGTATCAAATGCAAGATCTTCCAAAAACAGCAAACTTGAGAAGACATGATAAATTATATACTTTCTAATGTTTCCAGCTTACATATGATTAAAACAAACAAATAAAATTCAGAAAAGGGTGTTGTTATATATGGAGGTTTCCGGGAGACATCCAGGCCACATACCTAAACTACCATATCCAGCTCGTCTTAATGCAGTACAGCAGCAATTCTACTTTGAGTCCCTCCCAGATGACTGAGTTTCTCACCCTATCTCTAAAGAAGAGCATGTCCAACCTGGAAGAAACTCATTGCAGCCGCTTGCGATCTCGTACTTTCAGTCACTAAACAAGGCTTGTGACTATAGGTGAGGTTAGAAAATAGATTGAGCAGTAAATCAAAATCTCAGCTCCTTCACCACTTGTGAACCTTCATCTCTTGGTGAAAGTTCACCCGGAGGACCCCATTCCTGACCTGAAGAGGACACTCCACCTTTTTCAGGCTGAGGACCATGGTCTCATATTTGGAAGTACTGATTCCCATCACGACTGCCAAACACGCAACTGCAAATTGCTCCAGGGAGAGCTT